ACAGCCAGAGAAACATGCCCCCCCTCAGCCCCCCCACCTCAGGGCGCAGGAACCAAACCCCCACTCCACCAAAAAATCACGGACATGATCACAGAGTTATTTTCCTTAGGGAAAATCTACATCCGATTTCTTTTCTGCACGGTTTTGCCCGGGAACGTATCCCCCCGTGGCAGTGGGGACGTTCGCAGCGGGCGGGCTGGGCAGTTATCCCGCGTCCCTTCGCTTTTTCAATCCCTCGTTCTTGCATCAGCGGTTGCGCTGCGGCTCCGCTGCGGGTTGCACAAGCGAGGCCACTCCTTCCTCCGCCACTTCGGGCGCTAATTTAAAAAGCTGCCGGTTTTGACATCCCCGTTCCCTTTTGCATATTCGGAGGGAGCTTTTATAGGGTGGGGAAAAAAAAAAAGCTCATTAAAGGTGTGAGCATCCTCTTGATAAATGCTGCTTCATCCGAGAGCTGCGGCTCGCAGCTGCGCAGGGGACGATGCCCACGGCTCTGCGGCTGGGACGGCGTTGGGCTTCACTTCGGTGCCAATCGCATCTTCCCGGCATCCGGAGGGAGCGAAGCAACACACTGCTGCAGCTGGAACGGAGCGGGCGGTTGGCGTGGAAACGATGCGCTGCGGCGCAGCGAGGCAGCCAAACCTCCGCAGTGCGGCTCCGAACGCTGCGCTTTGCCACCAGGAGCAAAAATCATTCCCGGGTGGAAACATGAGCGACAGGTTCCCTGCGAGGAACGGCCGGGCCGGTTCCCTCCTCTCCCTGTGTACCACACACGGAAAAACAGGCTGAATTTGGGAGCGTTCCCCGCTTTCCCAGGGTGGATTTTCTGCGGTGTGGAGTATTAATTTAAGATGCTTTCACATTCCCCATCCTCCTTTTGCCTTTCCTCCCTTGGGATGGGGAGGAAGCCAAGGCGGGGGGAGCCGCCACCGTCGGGCCAAGCACAAGCGCCTCGGCCCAGCCCAGCGCTGCGCAGAGGGGACCAGTGATGGCAAACACCGCTGCGGCGCACGGCAGCCTCCAGCCAAACATGCCCCAACATATCCTCCAGCTGCTCGGGCCGGTGGGAAGCTGCTGGTCCAGCCGAGAAACACACGGGTGTTTTGCCACGCCGGGGGTCCTGCTCAGCACCCCAACTCCAGGGGCCTTGCGAGGGCGCCCGGCGCTCCCAAGGGATGGCTTCAACTGGGTCTTTGTCACCTGGGAGCGTGCTGTCACCTTCTTGTGCCCGCAAGAACACATTGCGTTTGCGTTCTTGCTGCCCCGGTTTTGGTGCCCGCGGTGCCTGCGGAGGTGATGCCGTACCGGGAGGGCGCTGCAGGATACGGCCCCCCTGGTGCAGCGGGGGCAATTGGCTCCCGGGGCATCAGCTCTCACGCTGTGGGGCAGAGCCGGCCCCGTTGCCCCAGTGCCCTCCGCAGCACGGGGGGTCAGTGCCCTCCGGATTCACAGCTCAGCCCCGGCAGGAGCCGCCCGGGGCTCGGACCTTCTCTGCGTGGGGACTTGGATGTGTTTTCCAGATAAGCCCCCGATTCCCCCAGATCCTCCCCGCGGGTTCCTGCAGGACATGAACGGACTTGTTCCTCCTCCTCACTCCTGCAGGACTCAGACCAGCACATCCTTCCCAAAACGCTTTTGGGTGCCGATGGGGGGTTCAGCTGGCGGAGAAGATCCAGGTCCTGGGGACAAAATCCGGCAGGAGAGGGCAGGGGTGGCCCAGGTGGCCCAGGACGGGGTCAGGCAGTGCCTGGGGACTGGGGGAACGTCATCCCGGTGTGGCTCTGAGGAGGGCACCCCGAGGGGACGAGAGAGTCGCCCTGTCCTTGATCCATTATCCCCTTCCCACGGGAATCCTCTGCACTGTGGGCAGGAGAGCCTGGGTGGGATGTGCTGCATCCCCCCACACCCAGCTCACGCGCAGCCATCCCAGGTCCCTCCTGCCTCTCCCGATGGAGAGGGGACACCCCTGTATCCCCTGATGGGGGGTCCCGGCATCCCTGAGGAAGAGGGTTCCTGTACCCCCTGACGGGGGATGTCCCTCCATTCCCAACTGGGGGAGTTCCCTCTTTCTCCTGAAAGGGGGGTCCCTTTCTCCCCTGATGTGAGGTCACTGCACCCCCTTAGGAAGGGGGTCCCTGTACCCCCTGATGGGGAGATGCCTGTGGCCCCTACCGGGGTGGGGGTGTCCCTGTGTCCCCTTGGAAGGGGGTCCCTGTACCCCCTGATGGGGAGATGTCTGCATCCCCTATTGAGTGGAGGTCCCTGTACCCCCCTAGGAAGGGGGTCCCTGTACCCCCTGATGCAGAGGTGCCCGTGTCCCCCACCGGGGGGG